AAATGCAGGCGAAAAATGCACTCTTTGAGTTTGCTACTACCGCAGTAAATAGCTATAAATAGCTATAAATAGCTATAAATGATTTGTAAATATCTTGTATATAATGTGCCTTACATAAAATAGGCCAAAAATATTTTCCCGAAGATTATGTTAAAGGAAGTTCATCGATGTTGATGATTGTTTGATGATTAATTCAATGTTTTTTTCGTAGAAATTAATAATATACAAGACTCGAGGCCAACTGATATACCATGCAAACAAATTCGCCCGCAACATCAATGGAATAAAATCCTTCATTTTAATAATTTAATAATCCGCTGATGTTGTACCCAAAATAGTTTTCGAACTTTTTGGTAGTTTTGGTATAAGTCTTTTTGACAAAATTTTTAATAATTTTTCTACCAACGAAGAATTAATGCTTTCTTTGATAGCCCATGATTTTAATGCTTTAATTTCATCTGTGTTGTCATCTGTGTTTAATGTTAGCATAGCGACATTTCTTTTTCCTCACCATGAAAATCAGTTTGTGATTCAGTTTCATTGTTGTCATCTGCTTTTATTGATAACGTTACGATATTTTGTTTTAATTCACCATGAATATTAGCTTGCAATATAGCTTCTTGAAAATTTACTGCCTGTCTTTCATATTCCTGGAGGTCTTCGGTGAGCATGTGTAAATATGTGTTCAATTCATTTTTGTTTCTTCTATAAAATCATATTTCGTTTTTGCATTACATGTATGAAAATTTAATTCCATTGTTTCATTTAAAAACTAATTATTTAAAATTAATTCATTAAATTTTTATATAACGGTTTAAATTTTAGAAAGCAGTAAAAAATATAAAAAAGAGTAATAAGAAATAATAAATAGTTTTATTTATAGTCAATGTTATCAATTAATTATTATGTTGGTACTCATGTCTCTCACTTATGCCGACAAGTTCGGCCATTTTGAATGTTCAGTTAATTTTTGACAGCTGCTTTGCTTGCACGTGTTTTGGCTCGTCTTCGATTTTTGCCTATTCCAAAAAATGGATCAAAGAATTGTATCAAATTTTGTGTGAAAAACAAAATTAAGTGCGCGGACGCATTCCGAATGTTGACTGTGGCATATGGTGAAGCTACCTTGGACCGAAGCAACGTTTATCGGTGGTACAAAATGTTCTCAGAGGGCCGAGAAGATGTGAACGACGAAGAGCGTGCCGGACGCCCGAGCACGTCAACAACAGACGAAAACATTGATGAAGTGAAGAAAATAGTATTGGCCAATCGTCGAATCACCGTTAGAGAGGTTGCTGAGGACCTAAACATATCGATTGGCTCGTGCCATTCGATTTTTACCAATGATTTGGGCATGAGACGGGTCGCCGCGAAATTCGTACCAAAATTGCTCAATTTCGACCAAAAACAGCATCGCATTAACATTGCTAAGGAGCTGTTGGACTCTGTCCGCGACGACCCAAATTTGCTCCAGAGGGTCATAACTGGTGACGAATCATGGGTTTATGGTTATGACGTGGAAACCAAAGCTCAATCATCCCAATGGAAGCTGCCGCACGAGCCAAGACCGAAAAAAGCGCGTCAAGTTCGGTCGAATGTGAAGGTTTTGCTTACAGTTTTCTTCGATTGCAGGGGCGTGGTGCATCATGAGTTCTTGCCACAGGGTAGAACGGTCAATAAGGAATATTACCTGCAAGTTATGCGCAATTTGCGCGAAGCAATCCGCCAGAAACGCCCGGATTTGTGGAAGAACAAAAATTGGCTTTTGCACCATGATAACGCCCCTGCTCACACATCGTTGCTTGTGCGCGAATTTTTGACCAAAAACAACACACTAATGATGCCGCAGCCACTGTATTCCCCAGATCTGGCCCCCTGTGACTTTTTCTTGTTCCCGAAACTGAAGAGGCCCATGAAAGGACGACGCTACGCTACGATTGAGGAGATAAAGACGGCATCGAAGGAGGAGCTGAACAAGATCACAAAAAATAATTTTTTGAAGTGCTTCGAGGATTGGAAAAAACGTTGGCACAAGTGTATAATATCTGATGAGGATTACTTTGAAGGGGACAAAATAGATATTCATGAATAAATAAATAATTTTTGAAAAAACACAAAATTCACAATACTTTTTGAACAGACCTCGTATGTTTGTATGCTGAGATTTCCCGATTGTATCCATCCCTCATTCTCTATGTTTTTTTCAAACATAGTATAAACTTTTCAAGAAATAGGAAATGTGGATAATAAAAAACGCAAACGAATCAAGAAAGCAATTGACGACAAAAATTCAACGAACATTTTAGCCGCTGTAGCATTAAATCCACATATCAGTACAAGACAGTTGAATGTAAAAGTGGTATTCAATGAAGTGTTTTGCGAATAGTCTATTCCAACAAATTTCATCCCTTCCATATCTCACTTTATCAAGAGTTACATGGCAATGATTTTCAAAATCGTGTACAATTTTGTGAATGGGCATTACAAAGACTACAAGGAGATGATATGTTTAGTGATATGTTTATCACTAAAATCTTATTTACTGACGCTACATTTATAAACAATGGACAAGCAAATCTTCGCAACATGCATTTGGTTAGTAGAAAATTCACTCAATTGGATGAGAGAATTGGACATGCAGAGACTTTGGTCTATAAACATCTGGGCCGGAATTCTTAATGATAAAATAATTGGTTCTTATTTTATCAATGGACCATTAAATAGTAGCAAGTATGCAGATTTTAACAGACATATTGCCACTATTATTAGAAGATCTTCCACTGAATCTGTGACAATCGATGGGTAGCAACAAGATGGATGTCCTGCTCATTCTGCAC